ATAGATAGACTAGTCTAGGTGTGAGAAGCCTCACGTCTGCGAGCCATATAAAGCCCGCGAAATAATTTTTTGTGGCCCTAACAGTTTGTGTCTCTGCGTTATCCTGCCTCAGCCTTTTTGGCCCTGTTAGCCTTTGTGATGCCAATAATTAATGCTGATCTGAACTTATGAATTTATTTTTGGCTTTACGCAGTTCATTTTCCTCTATTTCATCACTTTGTCCGTTGTCTAACTTATTTTCACCATTGCCTTTTCAGCCTTGGTGTGTTGGGTAAATGATAGTATTCACGGCTTCGGATATTTCATATGAATAAACGAATATTTTAAAAAATAAATAAACGGATATTTCTGATGAATAAACGGATATTTCTTTTACATAAACGGGTATTTCTTAACTGTGTTGTATGTATGTATATGTGTGTCTGTGTGTGTGTGTGTGTGTTTAAAACTTATCATCAATGGATCATTAAATTACCAACCCGACCCGGACATACATCCCGCCATAACGAAAACCAACCTAAGGCTGTTGGAGCTAAATACAAAATAACAAACGAATTGTGTTGACTCATACATGGCCAATTAAGCCACCTGTCATATTTGATGGATTTTTCCAGAGATTCCAACCACCAACGCAGAACAAGTAAACAAACAGTAATGTAACAATTGACTGGGAATCTTTGTATCACTGGAAGAAGGAGGGGATGGGGTTATTGGACAGTAGAGGAAGAAAACTGTCACAATCAATCCTAACTTTGCGCCACTTGAGGAGCTAGGAAAGCGCTAAATCAAAGCATTCAATAAGACGTGGATTTGTGACACCCCCCCCCCCTCTCTCTCTCTCTCTTCCTCCTGTCCCTCTTAAACTCTCGCCACTTGAGGAGCCCCACCCCCTCCCCCCTGAAAACATGAACTAAAAATATTCTAAGAGTAACTTAAATTTGTTTTAACCGTATTCGGCTCCTTCTCATCCACCATCCCCCTTTCTCACCCCCCTCCTCTATTCCTACCAGTGCATCTGAAATAATGTGAAATACATAAACAGATGCTTACAAATATGCATCTATACTTGGTAAAAGGGATGACTATTTAGCCATTTGCAAATGTTCCAGATATCTTCTCTTGGCAGCACCAACCCAAATTGCAATTGAGGGGAAGAAACGGGGAGGGGGGAGGGGTACTCTTAGTGTCTTAGTTCCCAGTTGATCCAGCGCCCCTGGTCACTTTATCCCACTTAGATCCTATTGTCTACTATTCTTGACTTTCTACCCCACTAGGACATCACACAAGCGATAAACACCCGATGACACAAAGTGCCACCATGTGATGAGGATCCCCGGGAAGAGGTCCCAGAAACCACGTTCAGACAATTGGCCATATTTATGACCTGCCTATATTGCGGCCCCTGGCAAAAGCCAGAGTGGGGCTTCAAATAACAAAAAATTTCATCCTAAAAAGGACGTAAGGATTGATGACATCTCTCTTAACTGCCTCTGCGTTCACGTAGTTTCCATATTCCCCTGTCTATGCTAAAGAACGATAACTTCCTTCCTGCTACCAATGACACGTTCACTTTATGTCCCAACCCCTTTAGCACACGTTGTTAACTAATTATCGATACCCAGGGTGTTTTCAACAGTGCCTCTGTCCCCTCCAAAAGTCTCCTAGTATTAAAAACCCAGAAGGAGATGAGGCATATTTATTTTTTGCATGCGTCAGGCAGATTACCATTCCACAACGGGAGATAACCGTTTAATACATAGGCCAGGGACACGATAGCGGGACGTTGATAGCGTCGCCTGTAATAGACTGATGCTAATTTCAGACACAGTGACGTCAACGAGAGCCTAATAAAAGGCAGCCATTAGCGGATGGATATAGTTGGTTGCCACATGTTTGTTTAAACTTCTGGTGGTTAGTGGAGAGGGTGGTTAGTGGGGAGCGTGGTTAATGGGGAGGGCGGGCTTCCCTCGAAGTCGGAGTACATCTGCCGGTGGAGCAGGGAACGGCAAACAAATAAGCCAGTAAAACGGATGCACACGCAAAACTCAGGTCCAAGTAAAAGCTAAAAGTCCAAATAGACGAACAACCGGGACCTTCCGAAGGAATTCATAACCGGGAAACGAAGAAGAAGAAGAGAGGGCGGTTAGTGGAGAGGATGGTTAACGGAGAGAATGGTTAATGGAAAGGATGGTTAATGGAGAGGATGGGTAATGGAGAGGGCGGGTAAAGGAGAGGGCGGGTAAAGGAGAGGGTGGTTTGGTGGAGAGAGTGACTAGACAGAGAGTCAAGTTGGCGGTCTTGGAATAACAACCATAGAGAGCCAGTGGCAGAAATAACACGCACACAGACAGACAGACAGACAGACAGACAGACAGATGGATGGATGAGTGGAAAGTATGATGGATGGCTAGATGGACTGACAGACAGAAAGGCAGTAGAGAGAATTTCCGAAGAAACAAATCAGTTGATTTAAACTGATTCATTCACCCATTGCTTGACGGTTAATACCAAAGAGAGCTGAAACAAAGTATCGCTTCTCGGCCTTTTGGCTAAGATCAAAGTGTGTGTGACAGTGTTATTACCCTGTCTTCGTGAGGAAGATCATGTCGGATAAAGAGGAAAGACGCGGCAACAGAGCGAAACAAAACATAGAACAAAGAACAATGAAAGCACTTAGAACATAGTCAGTTAAAATAAACTAAAGATCCTTATTTAAAGCCAGGGGTATATGGTGCTAGACGAGTAACTGAAGCAAGCTGGCATTTCCTTGTCTTCTTTATTGACTGGGTTAGACGAGACTGTTGTCACCATTCTTAGATTCTACTTTCGCCTTACTCCTTTCAGACGTGATGTGTGGAACTTACGGCAAAAATGGTGAAATTAGGCATGGTAGAATTTTAAGCTTTGAAGTTATTTGTGCTTCCGACAGCGCTTTGCTAATGCAGTTTCACATAAGGATGGTAGTTTACAGTTTCGCTGCCCGAGCTACTAAGTTAAGTGCTTGGTGCAGCCCTGTGAGCTGTGTTTTCCTGTGGAATGCCTTTCATTTGTGCAGCGATTGTGTCGTGTCATTCAGCATGGCCGGTAGCCGGTTTACATGTGAGCTGGTGAAATAGCTTATGTAATAATTGCACGTGTTTATCGTGTCCGGCTACTTCCATCAAAGACAAACTGCATTTCTAGTGGCGATTGTTAGCTTTGATGCCTCTAACAACTGAAATCTGCATTTACAGAGTGCGCACATTTCTGGATTGTGCCGAGACTAATTGTTTGTTCATAGGGTTTTATTTTTAATGCGACAGTCAGGGACATTTCGTTTCATTTTCCCTTGCACAGGAACGGAACACGTATGGGGAAAACCCGATTGCAGTGACGTTGAAACCTCGACCAAGACTAAGACCTCATGTGATCAGATAGTGCCGAAATTGTGATCGATCGGTTTGTCCCTTCTGGGCTGCTACCTACAGATGTACCATACCATCCTGAGATCAATATATACTTGTATAGATCACTCCGCTCTCGATGTGGGGATGTGGTCAGAATCACCTCGGTCATCTCTACTTCCCAGAACATTTCCTGGTACCCATATTAGGCTAGGTCGACCTGAAAGCCAAAGCCAAATTTCAAGGAAAAAAAATTCTGTCTCGTTGCGGAATTGAACCCTTGACCCTGGCGTTGACATGAGAGCCTCTATATACTAAACCACTGACTCTCACGATTAATGAATTAGTTGCGTGCTATTAATAAGTTTTAAATTATGGGAAAACAGTGCACGCCTTCGAATTTCCCTGATATGGAGGCGTTTCAGCTGACCGGGACATTAGCCAGAATTCATGTTGCCCACTTTAGACTTTATCGACAAGACCTCAACAAACGGACACATTTCCCTGTAACATTTCGCGGTAGTTCTCCGTGAATTAGGTCACCGTAGTGATTGTTTATTAGCGACAATTTGCTGGACCCGACAATTTTTGACGACCAGACTGTAGCAATACGGAAATTGGGGAAATAAAAGCTCCTAAGTTTTGTTTTGGCAAGATGGATGTGAATGGTCGGTGACAGCTATTTGAGTGTTCTAAGGGTACATAATGAAAACGCTTTGGTGAAAGGGTTATGGCACTTGGATAAGAACGGGGAAAAAGAAAACAAGGCTTAATCTTTGGAGTTGGCAGTGACAGCTTTGGCGAAGTATGTATCGTGTGAATGTGTTTATTGTCTGTCTGTCTGTCTGTCTGTCTGTCTGTCTGTCTGTCTGTCTGTCTGTCTGTCTGTCTGTCTGTCTGTCTGGCTGTCTGTCTGTCTGTCTGCCTGCCTGTCTGTCTGTCTGTCTGCTTGCCTGCCTGCCTGTCTGTCTGTCTGTCTGTCTGTCTGTCTGTCTGTCTGTCTGTCTGTCTGTCTGTCTGTCTGTCTGTCTGTCTGTCTGTCTGTCTGTCTGTCTGTCTGTCTGTCTGTCTGTCTGTCTGTCTGTCTGTCTGTCTGTCTGTCTGTCTGTCTGCCTGCCTACCTGCCTCTCTTTCCATCATCCTATTATACAGTTCATAAACGCTTGCACAAACCTACTCCCATCCTTCGGCCACACGACCAGCCACCCGATACAACCACCCTCTCATGTGTACCCAACACCCTCTCACCTGTACCCACTATTCTCTCACTTGTACCCAACACCCTCTCACCTGTACCAACCATCCTCTCACCTGTACCCAACACCCTCTCACCTGTACCAACCATCCTCTCAACTGAACCAACCATCCTCTCACCTGTACCAACCATCCTCTCACCTGTATCAACCATCCTCCCATCTGTACCAAACATCTTCTGACTTGTACTAACCACTCTATTTCTGATACCAATCACTCTCTCACCTGAACCAACGATACTGTCACATGTACCAACCACCCTCTCACCTGTACCAACCATCTTTCCACCTGTACCAACCATCCTCTCACATGTACCAACCATCCTCCCACCTGTACCAACCATCCTTCCACCTGTACCAATCGTCATCCCACCTGTACCAACCATTCTCTCACCTGTACCAACCATCCTACCACCTGTACCAACCATCCTCCCATTAGTACCAATAATCCTCCCACCTGTACCAACCATCCTCCCACATGTACTAACGATCCTCCAACCTGTACCAACCATCCTCCCACCTGTACCAACCATCCTCCCACCTGTACCAACCATCCTCCCACCTGTACCAACCATCCTCCCACCTGTACCAACCATCCTGTCACCGGTACCAAGCATCCTACCACCTGTACCAACCATCCTCACACCTGTACCAACCATCCTCCCACCTGTATCAACCATCCTCCCACGTGTATCAACCATCCTCCCAACTGTACCAACAATCCTCTACTAACCACTCTATTTCTGATACCAATCACCCTCTCACCTGTACCAACCATCCTCTCACATGTACCAACCATTCTTTTACCTGTACCAACCATCCTGTCAACTGAACCAACCATATTCTCACTTGTACCAACCATCCTCTCACCTGTACCAACCATCCTCTCACCTGTACCAACCATCCTCCCACCTGTACCAACCATCCTCTCACCTGTACCAACCATCCTCCCACCTGTACCAACCATCCTCCCACCTGTACCAACCATCCTCTCACCTGTACCAACCATCCTCTCACCTGTACCAAACATCCTCCCACCTGTACCAACCATCCTCCCACCTGTACCAACAATCATGTCACCTGCGCCAACCATCCTCCGACCTGCACCAACAATCCTCTCACATGTACCAACCATCCTCCCACCTGTACCACCATCCTCTCACCTGTACAAACCATCCTCCTACCTGTACCAATAATCCTTCTACCTGTACCAACCATCCTCCCACCTGTACCAACCATCCTCCCACCTGTACCAACCATCCTCCTACCTGTACCAAACATCCTCCCACTTGTACCAACTATCCTCTCACATGTACCAACCATCCTCCAACCTGTACTAACCATCCTCCAACCTGTACCAACCATCTTCTTACATGTACCAACCATCCTCCCACCTGTACCAACCATCCTCCCACCTGCACAAACCATCCTCCCACCTGTACCAACAATCCTCTACTAACCACTCTATTTCCGATACCAATCCCCCTCCCACCTGTTACAAATACGCCTCTCACCTAATCCAGTTACCCTCTCACATGTACAAATCACCCTCTCACATTTACAAATCACCCTCTTACATGCACAAATCACCTTCTCACATTTACAAATCCCCCACTCACATGTACAAATCAGCTTGTCACCTCTACCAACGACCAGCACTAAACCCCGTCTCCCCTGTTTCAACCACATATTCACCTGCTTCAACCACTCTCACTTTTACCATCCATTATCTTACTTAGTGAGCTTTAACCTTTCTTCAAATAGAGCTCCCTTGAAAATATAGCTAGATCTCCCCCCACCACCCGCCTCCCAATCATCCCCAATCACACAAAAATGTCATTAAAACAAGGACCATAGATTCCGCAACAAGTGAAACAGACAATAAACACATACGTTTTGGGGAGAATGTGTTCTTAATCGATAATTAAATGCCTGTTATCATATTAATTAAAACTGTAACTGTAGATATATATGAATTAGAAAAAAATATATCAGAAGACATAGTACCAGGAAGAAGAAACAGGGGCCGACCAACACGAAGATTGGCACAGGATATATAAGTGACTCCTTGAGTATGAAAGTACATGAGGCGGGAGAGCTGGCCAGAGACCAAGTTTCTTTCAGGCAGACCGTAATAAGAGCGACGTTCTGCAAAGGACTTGCTACATGATGATGATAATGAGATATACACAATGCTTATGAAAACAAAAACAAATGTCCTTGGCTGTTTGTTTTATAAACAGTTTTCAACATATTTCATTATTGTGTTTATAATTAAATTGAAACAATAATATAACGGATTATTACAAGAACAAAGACAATCAATTTCAAAACTGCCTCCCCCCCACCCCCCCCCCCACCCCCGGACATCCCAGGTTGTAGACGACTGGTCTAACTTGTACGTCTTCCAAAGCCCACAAAGAAAGCCCCAGCAATGGCTGTGAATATGTTTGTCATGGGAAGCAAAATAATGAAGCCAATATACACATACACAAAGAAACTGATATTGCGAAACAATGCCGAAGGTGAACACATAAACATGCCAATAAAAAGGACATTTGTCAAGAGATGCGCCAAAAATGGCCCAGCATGCAACGGGATAGCTCATTAAACCGGAATGTGTTGTGAAAGAGAGGGGAGTTTATGATCTTAGTTATTATGAACATCATCCAAACTGTTGCTTTCGGAGTTAAGCGTAGTGCTGATAAATGAGGTAGTTATGTTGGCCTCATTTGACGTTGTTACTACAAGCTAGACATCACGGTGTATCTGACTTCATCAGCATATACGTCCTACATAATGCATGTTTTTTCTTTTTTCGAAAATAGGGTTGTGGGGGGGGGTAAAAAAGGGGGGGGGGGGGGGGGGGTTGCGTGAAAAAAGGGACGGGGAGGGGGCTGTCTATGTGGCCAGGCCGCTTACCTGACGTTCTGAAGGTCGTGACTTCGTTTCTCAGCTACACTGTTCGGTTGACGAGTGCAGATTTTGTGATCTCTGCAGATCGTCGCTGGAGCTAGGAAATTCGTGCTTTGTGCGACGCGATCAGCAGCAAATAGCCGTTCTGCCAAGAGAAACCGAGTCATATTTGACAAAACCCGGTAAAATGAAGTCGGTCCTCTTCACCAGTGTTGCCACTTTTGTTTGACAAAAAATATCCAAAACGGTGTCAAAAAATATCTAAAAAGATCTAAATCTGCGTGGAAAAGATCTAGAAAAAACATCAAAATTGAAAAAGTCAAAAATTACAAAGCTTTTGTTTTGACTTACCCTATAGAATCATGTCCTCACCTTCACTGATGTCTGCTCACAAGATCCACAGGATAAACTTAGCTTGGATAATGAAGTTGAAGCTTCAGATCCAAATTGACCCTGGTATGCTTTAGCTGTTCAAATTTCTTTATAAGTGGAACAGTAGGCTTATTTCTCTAGTCTCATCAGGCCGAATTTTAACGGCACGATAGCATTTAAGAGGTACAATTTCATCCTGTTTTTTAGGTTAGATTTGATATAATTCCTAGCATTGAAAATTCTTTCTACGTCGGCATTTGAGTGGGGTAGTATCATGGCAGACATGGCACTTTAAAGAGCTTACAGAATGGACTGTTTGATGAGGCATCTTTAAATTGTCTCACTTCACTCCGAAACGCTTTACTTTCTGTTTTGTTTGTCCATTCAGCTAACTTTATTTTGGTTAGCTGATATTCTGCTTCCGCGACACTATTATCAGTAGCCCCTAAAAATTTCATAACTTTACAATATTTAGGTATGTCCTTTATTGGCTGAAGTATGTTGCTCACAGAAAAAAGTGAAATATTTTTTCAAAACATCAAGATTTTCAGGAAGTCCCTGCTTCAATTGCTTCAATAATGAGATAAAGAAATCTTGACAGCGTTTTCTTAAGTTGTTCTATTCATTCTCTGTTAACAGTCCTTTTGTTTTTAAATCATCAATTTTTGATTCAATTTAATATCCAAGGTGTGGCTTAGGAGCCAAATAGCTCTCTATAGTGCAAGTGAGCAAATCAGCTTTAGAAGTTGGCAACACCAGTCTTTTACCGAGTGAAATAGCAAGGTGAGATCATCAAGTAATTTAACTTTATCAACAAGTTTAGATTCGAACAGTTTATTAACTTTTTGCACTTCCATTAGAATAGGTTATAAAAAGAGAATGAATGACAAATTTTTTTCATCACTGTACATTCCATATAGTATTTCAGCTGTGTAGCACTTTTCACTTTGTCTTGTTATTTCAAAGTGTGTCTTCAACTTCAGCCATTGCTTCATAATTCTTTCAACAGCTGGTTAAATTGATAACCATCTAGTTTTGCAATCTGACAGAATTTTCGGTGGTGTGGAACCATCATTCAAGGCTGTATATAATGAATTGTATTGCTGTTGTCTGACAATTGATTTGGAAAACAAGTAAAGTGTTTCAGCAATAAGGTATTCCAAATTCCTTGGTAAATATTTAGATGAAGTATGTGATAATGCTAGCTGCAATGAATGACGCATACATTTTAAAAGTATTAACGATGGGTTAGCTTCCTTCAACTTGGCATAAACGCCATTGTTTATACCAACCATCACTGAGGCATTATCAGTACCAATTACAGCCAAATTCTTAAAGCCTAACTGTTTGCTGATTAAGAGGTCCTTCAGTTCCTAAACTATACTTTCTACACCACAATTTTCAAATTGAACTAGTCCAAGATTTTTTTACAAATCGATCAAATGGTCACAGTTTGAAATTGCGCTGTGACAAATTAAAAACATTGCGACTGATACTTCAACTTTTGATGATTCATTTATCAGTATAGTTTTGAAAACAGATGTCAGCCGTGTAATATCTTTAAATGAAACTGCAGTTTTATGTTTTTTAGTCTCTGCATGACTCTTTGAGTTTTGCATTTTCGCTTTAATTTAACACTTGCAGTACTTACAACAAGCTTTGGTCATATCCCCAGTTTTTAATTTTGTCATCATGCAACCACTCTTTCCAAATTTGTTGCTCATACTTTACTTTTTGCTTGTTGAAAGGTTTTTTCAAAGTGAAAGCCACATTAGAATGTGAGCAATTATTTTTTTAAATCACATGAAAAAGAAACGCAAAGTCAGCACAGTGAGGATACGGTTGAAACAAAGTTAGTATGATTTACGCGCGTTTTTATTAATCAGTACTGGGGCTGCCAGATATTTAACGTGTTGACCCCAGTGAGAGTTCAAAGTTCAAGTAATGGCAGTTGTCACAATGTGCGTGCCAGACCAAAACAAAAATATTGTAGTAAATATTTTACACAGTAATTATTAAATTGACAATGAAAGAAAAAAAATCTATAAAATGTCTAACTCCATATGAAAAGAATCTGCAAAAATATTTACGATCTAAACGTCAAAAAAAGTATCTAAATGCAATGAAAAAGATCTAAATTTGGATATAAAAGATCCAAAGTGGCAACACTGCTCTTCACTTCGCTTTATGTTGAAGTATTTTGGTGTTGGCATCAGGGAGAGTATCCCCGCAAATCGGCACCTGAAAATGCTGAGGGAGCATTCTTACGATGTAATCTTTGCTGCGCTGGTGGTGAAGCCATCCGGTCTGTCCCAGCCAAGATGTTCTCCTTCTGGAGACGGTCATGTTCCAAACTCAATCACAGCAAAGCTGTATTGTAACGGGAGCGATTTTGACTGTACAACTGCCTCCACCATGGCTCCTGGCCTCTGATATATGTTTTCTAGCAGAAGGATCGAAGAAGATGAAGAAGAAGAAAGGAAAATTCAAAACATATCTTATTATTTGTATCTAATAGGCAGTCAGCTCTGATGTAATAGAGTTTCTGTTATTAGTATCATTACGACAGTTAAATTCAGAGTTGATCGCAGGGCTGTTAACAATGAGACGAATGAGGAATTTGTATTGTTCTTAACTGGCTTTAGTAAAAGAGGGAAATAAAGAAAATCTCAAACACATCTGAATTAATTAGTTGCGTATCCTATACAGGACGTTGCAGAAGCAACCCCAGCATTTTTTGGCTGTTGTGGTTTTTCTAGTCAAGTTTACGT